TTCTTCAATGCTTTTGCGCTTAAAAACTTCATAAGTGGTGCTGTTGTGCAGCAAAAGAGAGAAATGATTAATTGCAAAAAGTGACAAAAAAAGAAAAGACAAAAAAGACAAAAGGAACAGCAGCAGCAACTTCGGGTGTACAGACACCAGACGCTGCGGCACAAAACGCAAAAACACTTTTTTGTTTTCATTTTTATTTCATTATTTAATTTCATTTATTTTTATTTTTATTTTATTTGTTTTTATTGAATTTATTTTCATTTACTTTCATTTATTTTTACTTACTTTCAGTTAATTAATTAATAACTAACAGATGAATTATTTAACAATAAATTCATTGACTCTTTAATAAATTCATTTATTATAATAAATTAATTAATAAGAAATGGATTAATTATTTAATAACAAAAGCATTGATCGTTTAATAAATGCATTAATTAACAATAAACGAATTATTTAATTAGTAAATGAATTAACTAATAATAAATGAATTAATAATAAATGAGTTAATTGATTAATCAATCAATTAATTAACAATAACAAATAAATTAATTTAAAATATATGAATAAAATAATTAATTAATTAATTAGTTAATTAATTAGTTGTCTAATGAATGAATTAATTAATTAATTGACTAATTAATTAATTCCCATTTCTACTGACTTTGCAAAAAGGCAAAAAGTCCCAAATTTTGTCTGTCTCCTTTTTGGCTTCGCCGAGCAGAAAAACAAATCCCAAAAAGACTCCATACCTAAAAAGAATCAATTTAATTAAATTAATTAAATTAATTTAATTAAATTAATTAAATTAAATTAATTTAATTAGATTTAATTTAATAAGTTGAGTTTAATTCATTTAATTAATTAAATTGAATCAATTTGATTTCATTAAATAAACAGAGAAGTAAACGAAGGGCAAAGTGGCAGTGAGAGGGCGAAGACAGAAAAACAGAAATAGAAAAGAAATTAATTAATTAATAATAAATAAATAAATCAATAAATAAATAAATAAATAAATAAATAAATAAATAAATAAATAAATAAATAAATGATAATTAATTAATTAGTTAATTGAATTAAAAATGGAGATCAGGAGAATTTGCAAAAAGGCGAAATGGCAAATGTGGAGCGGAGTGTACGTACACTCGAAGCATGCATGCATGCGGTCAAAAGGGAAAAGCGAAAAAGAAATAAAATGGAAATAAAATGGAAATAAAAAGAAATAAAAGATAAAATAAGTTATAAATGAAATGGAATTAAAACTTGAAAGTGTCTGGAAGCAAAAGAACGAATGCAACTCGAAAAGGCGTTTCTGCGGTGTACATACACCCCAGAGACCGCAGCAGCAGTGGACAGACACCCCAGTGCAAAGCACCCCGCGAAGAGCTGCTGCAGCAGCAAAAAGAAAACAAAAAAGAAATAATTATTTCCTCCGATGCAGCAGTTCAGCCAGAAGCAATGGTGGTCAAACCGAAGCACGCATTTGCTGCAGCGCCAGCAGTGGCGGCTCCGGGCAGGCCTGAGCAGCAGCAGCAGCAGCAGCAGCAGCAGCAGCAGCAAAGGGAGCAGCGGCAGGGGCAGCACAGGCAGCAGCAGCAGCAAAGGGAGCAGCAGCAGGAGCAGCAGCAGCAAAGGCAGCAGCAAGAGCAGCAACGGAGACACACAGGCAGAGACACAGCAAGATAATCATACAAAAAGCATACAGACAAAAGCAAACTTCTAGGGTTTAGGGTTTAGCTTTAAGGATTTAGGGTTTAGGGTTTAGAGTCCAGCCTCTAGGTTTTACGGTTTAGCCTCTAGGGTTTAGGGTTTAGGGTTCAGCTATACGGTCTAGGGTTTAGGGTTTAGGGTTTGAGAGGATACCTGATATGTTGCAAATGGCGCATTTGGTGTTGGGGAAATAAATTAAGGGTTTAGGGTTTAGGGTTTAGGGTTTAGGGTTTAGGGTTTAGGGTTTGAGAGGATACCTGATAATGTTGCAAACGGCGCATTTGGTGTTGGGGAAATAAATCAAATTGTCAAATTCGTAAACCCTAGAAAGTTGTTTGGCGTTTTCAGGTGTCACGACACCTGAACACACAACGCAGCAGCAGCAGCAGCAGCAGCATCAGCAGCAGCAGCAGCAGCAGCAGCATCAGCAGCAGCAGCAGCAGCATAAGCAGGAAAAACAGCAGCAGCAGCAAATCAGCAGCGGCAAAATCAGTACCAGCAGCAGCAGTAGAAGCAAATCAGTATCAGCAAATTAGCATCAGCAGCAGCAAATTAGCAGCAGCAGCAGCAAATTAGCAGCAGCAGCAGCAACAAATTAGCAGCAGCAGCAGCAGCAGCAGCAGCAGCAGCAGCAGCAGCAACTGGCTAAAACTGCGCATCTCCGTCTGCTTTTTTTCCCCATCCACCCCAAATTATTATTTTATTTATTTATTTATTTATTTATATTTATTTATTTATTTATTTTAATTAATTAATTTATTTATTTATTTTAATTTATTTACTTGCCTGGGTCGCTGCAGCAGCAAAGGAGAAATGCGGCGACGCAAAGGAAAAAGGCCAAAAGACTGATGGGGCTGAAATTAAAAAACAAAATAAATAAATAAATAAATAATTAATTAATTAATTAATTAATTAATTAATTAATTATATAATTAACTAATTTATTTGATTAATTTAATTAATTAATTAATTTAATTAATTTAGTTAATTTATTTATTTAATTTCAATTTTAAAAAATAAAAAAAAACTCACAAAGAGGCGCCCCACAAGATGCTGCTCCGCAGCAAAGGAGAAGCTGCAGCAAAACAGAAATTCATTTTTAATTATTTTATTTATTTATTTTATTTGTTTATTTTATCTATTTATTTTTTTATTGATTTAATATAATTTAATTTTATTTTATTTTATTATTTAATTTAATTTAATTTATTCTAATTTAATTTAATTAATTATATTTATTTAATTTAATTTAATTTAATTCAATTCAATTCAATTTTAATTTGATTAAATAAAAAGATTGTGGGGTTTATTTTCTTGATTTGGGTTTTGGAAAGAAATGAAAATAAAAAACAAAAAATAAATATTTAAGATAATTAAAGTAATCAAAATGAAATGAAAATGAAAAGAAATTAAAATAAATAAAAAGGACAAAAAGTAATTAAAATCAAAAGGAAAAAAATATATTAAAATTAAAATTAAAATATAAAGAGGTTAAAATAACAATAAAAAGATTAAAAGAAAGTAAAGCTAAAAGTAAAAAGATAAAATTAAGATTAAAGTTAAAATTAAAATTAAAATTAAAATTAAAAAATTAAAACTAAAATTAAAATTAAAAGGATTTAAAATTAAAAAGGAAACAGAAAGATAAAGAGAAGAAAAAATAAAAGCAAAAGTGAGGAAATAAAAAAAGATATTAAAAGGAAATAAATTAAAAACATAAAATTAAAATTAAACAAAAAAGAATTAAATTAAAATTAAAATTAAATAAAAAGAATTGAAAAGACAAAAAGGACAAAAAAAGATTTAAAAAAGAAAAAAAAATAAAGAAATAAAAGAAATAAAAAAGACACAAAAGAAACAAAAAAGAAATAAATAAACTAAAAGATAAATAAAACAAAATAAACAAAAAATAAACAAAAACCAATAAAAATAAAAATAAATAAAAATAAAAATAAAAATAAATAAATAAAAATAAATAAATAAAAATAAAAACAAATAAACTTGCCCACGTTGATGAATTCGAGATAAGAGAAAATCATAATTCCAAAATAAAAAACTGGACCCAAAGGAGCTTCTTTTAAATTGCTGCTGCAGTTCTTGAGCTGCTGCTGCAGCTCCTGCTGCTGCTGCTGCAGCAGCTGCTGCAGCTGCTGCAGCTGCTGCCGAAGCTGCTGCAGCAGCGGGTGCAGCCGCTGGTGCAGCTGACGCAGCAGCTGCTGCAGCTGCTGCAGCAGCTGATGCAGCTGCTGCTGCAGCGCGTGCTGCGGCTGCTGCAGCAGCTGCAGCAGCTGCAGCAGCTGCTGCAGCAGCTGATGCAGCAGCTGCTGCAGCCTTCTTGCTGCTGCGCGCACGCGGAAATAAAGGCGGGCAGCAGCAGCGGGCAGCAGCAGCAACGCGGCTGCTGCGCAGCAGCAGCAACACAGCAGCAGCGGCAGCAACACAGCCGCTGGCATAGCCCCTCTTCCTGCTGCTCCTGCTGCTGCTCTTGCTGCTCCTGCTGCTGCTGTTGCTGCTCCTGCTGCAGCAGCAACCACTGCCGCATTGCTGTAGAGTTGCTCTGTGACTGCTGCTGCTGCTGCTGCTGCTGCTGCTGCTACGGCTGCGGCTGCGGCATAGGCTGCTGCTGCTCCAGCGGGAACTGAAGGTCAAGGGCTTATTGTTGCTGCTGCTGCTGCTGCTGCAACAGCAGCCGCAGCTGCAGCAGCAGCTGCTGCTGCAGTGCAGCAGCAGACACACGAAAACACGCCGCGCCCGCCTTTGCTGCTACCCTTGAGGCCCAGAACAGCAGCAGCAGCAAAACTAAACTCAAAATTAATTAATTAATTAATTAATTATTCATTTAATTCATTTTTGTTAGAAGGAATGCGCAGCAGCAGACGCAAACGTTGCTGCTGCTGCTGAGGTAGCTGCTTGTACACCTGAGTTGCTGCTGCTTGTGTCTTTCGTCAGGCGCGTTCCTTAACTAATTCATTTTGCTGCTGCTGCTGCTGCAGCTGCTGCTGCTGCTGCTGCTGTGGTGAACACGCAGCAGCAGCCCCGGGTCGGCTGCTGTTGCTGCTGCTGCTGCAGCTGCTGCTGCGGCTGCTGCTGCTGCTGGAGAAGAGCAGCAGCTTAAAACAAAATCCTCTAAAAAGAGATTAAAGGAGATTTATGAAGTGAGGCTGCGGTGTATGTACAGCTCACTCTATTTTTCTGCCCGCTGTGTGTTGCTGCTGCTGCTGCTGCTGCCGCTCGTGTCACCTGCAGCAGCTGGAGCAGCAGCAGCAGCAGCTGCTGCTGCTGCTGCCTTT